ATAATCTGTGTGTTTTTTGTCGGCCTGAAGGGGAGTCTTTGGTGCATTTATTTGTTAGGTGCCTGTGTTAGGGTCTGTGAAGGTGTTTTGGACGGACTTGCAGAGTTTTGCAGGCAGTTAAAGGTGCTTTTAAGATTTAAGGATTTTGATATTTTATTGTACTGTTTAAAAGAAACTTTGGAAAAAGAGCATTTTTTATAGTAAATGTATTAGTCATTTTGGGTAAATGTCACATTCATAAATCAAAACGGTCTAATAATACTCCCCTTTTTAGTACTTTTAAGTTGGAGTTGAAACACTATTTACAATAATTTACTTCCCTACCTCTGGCAGTTAATTGTTTTTTTTTTCTGTTTGTGTTTTTTTCGCTTGTACCTGTTTCTGATCCTCTGGTTGTATTTGTAAATTCTTTATACGTTTAATCAGTTTATTTAAAAAAATATATGGGAGTGGAGAGAATGTTTGACCAAGAGCACACAGAACACAAAACAGATTGCAGCCGATAGGCGGCCGGTCGACCCAGCCGTTCCGTTACGTAGTAACATAATGTAGCGTCACGCAAGGCGGGCTGGGAACACCCCTGGGTGCGGGGCTACCGGACTGTATATAGCGGAGGCTGGGAGACGTCTCTTCCGTGTCTGTAGGTGCCTGTCACTGTGTGTGAACAGTTCAGTTCCCCTGTATTGGTTAAATGTGTCGGTTAACCCCTTTTCCTGAGTCCGACGCCTGCTCCAGGCCGTACCGACGATCTCAGCTGTGTCTTGAAATAATCTAGGTTGGAGGCTTTAATAAGATGAGTGGGCAGCTTGTTCCACACCCTCGCCACCCTTTGTGTGAAGAAGAGCTGCCCGTTCTTGTTTTTAAGTGCGCTTTCCTCTCTTTTCAAGATCGGGAGCGCGAACCAGGGTCGACGACTAGCGAAACCCTTTATACGAAGGAAAATGCAGGAGAGAGATTCTGTGAACAACGTGGAACAGCCCGCTATTGAGAAATATTTAATTCTGTCACAGAACACCCTGCCTGTTCTCTCACAGTGGTGTCCTTGGGAGCACACGATCGCCTAGAAGGCAGACGTCTGTCAATCAGCGGTCAGGTGTACGATGAGCGAGTAAAGGCGAGCTATTCGTGGGTTAGAAATTCAGGTAAAGTTTTGTACTGCAGAAAAACCCCCTTATTTCTACAAGCTAAGTTGTGTGTTATCACAGAGTGCATACCTAACTGTGAAGTAAGACAAAGTAAAAGTCTTCAACAGAGCAACACATTAAAAAAAGCTGTTTACAGGCTGTTTTTGTATTGCACGTGATTATTCAATTTTTCGTTTAAATATTTTACAATGTTACAAAATAACAATAATCTTTTGAATTAATGCTTCTGGCTTCCATTACCTTATTGTATGATTAAATCTTAAGGAACATTTGTCTCGGGATAATTCGCAATTGCGTCTGCGGGGAGATGGAACTTTTTCTTATGAATAATATAATTGGAGCATCTGCGCCTCTCGGTGGCCAAAAGCAAGAACTATCCTGAACTTAAAAAGGCAATGATTGAACCATATTGAGACAGAACATGTCTCGCATGGAAAATACAATTCACTTGAGGGAGTGTCCCACAATGACAGACTGGAGGAACTGAGTCTCTTTAGTCTGAAGGGAGTGTTCCACACTAACAGGCTGAAGGAACTGAGTCTCTTTAGTCTGAAGGGAGTGTCCTACACTGACAGGCTGAAAGAAATGAACATCTTTAGTCTTGAACAGAGGAGACTGCTGTGAGACCTGACAGGAATATTCCACATTCAAAGGAGACTGACAAAGTCAGCTCTGGAGACTTCTTCAGAATGAACGGTGAAGCGTGAAACCAGAGAATGCAGGTGGAAACTATCTGAATTTAAAGGCTCTTTAGGGTGTTTTGAGACTTATTTAGTTGTATTTATAATAACCCATAATCATCTTACAATTGCTCACTCTCCTTCATTGTGTGACGCTGTTGGAAGTACCTTTATGTTCTGTTTTTTTTTAAACTGGTACAGCTACGTAAACCAGTTCTTTTAAAAATAAAATGTCCCATTTAGACCCGATTATAGCGCCAGTAAGGATTTTATACATAACGTGCTTACTCTAGTTTTTCAACTAGGTGTCAATAATATTGGACAGTGTTTTTGTGAATATTTTCATAGCACCAACAGTAGGAACTGTTTCTGACATTTCATCTCCTCTAATGCTTTGTGTTCAAATAAAGTTGAACGTTCAAATGCGATTCAAGGCTCAACTGCAACATTCGGCGTTTTTTATAATCAGAACTTTATTTCCCATCCGGCCTTTCGCCTCGACGTTTATGACGCCTGGCAGGTTTCCTGGAAGTTGTAGTTTTCTGACACGAGCTCTCGCCAAAGGAAGCACGGCACGGCCGACGCATTGGAAACTACAACCCCCTGTGGGCCGAGCGGCGGATAGCGCGCTGAGGGGAGGGGTGGGGGGAGCCCAGCTTGCAGCAGGGGGGCCGTGTCCGCTCTATTCTTCTCTTAAAGGAGAAGCGACACAAAGCGGCTCGGCTCAACGGCGAGCGGGGTTTTCAGGTCTCTACCGCTTTAAGGCTCCAGAAATTGGTATCTGGGTCTTTAAATAAATAGCCGATCAGTAAATTAGCAAAAAAATACGAGGAAAATTAAAACTCGCGTCGCTGGAGCGGGCTGCGATCCCACACCCGCTCTCCGAGCCCCTCCGGGAGCCCGACCGGACCGCAGCCCCCCGTCACCTCGGTGCCGTCCGCCAGCGCAGCGGCCCGCTCCGGGCAGGCACGGGCATGGACCCGGAG